AAGTAACCTCAGTGACATGGGTTAAAGATGCCTCTTAGTTCTTTTTTTAGTTGTGGCTCAGTTCCATCCAGTAGAAAACCTTTGAAAGTTTGGGCATGTAGATGGCACCCTTTCTTAGTGTCCAGTATTGATGTGGCTCCAGTCACTGTTTTTCTTCATTTTTCCTCCCCCAGATTCTTCTCTCATTTTCTAGGTTAGATTAGTATCTGGAGGGTGGAAAAAGGGAGAGAGCAAAGGCTTGTGTTCAATTCACTGGGTTTATCTAGAGGTCAAGATTTATAATTTTTAAAGGCATATGTAACATTCTGTCTTATTAATGTAAACACAATCATTTCCTGGTTATCAAGCCTTTGGGGTTTTTCCAGCTTTTGCTCTGTGTTCTTTGTTGTGTTGTGAATACCTTGGAACCAAACATTTTTTGAGGTTGTCCCTTTATGTTTATTCTCCAAATTGGGCTTAAATTTAATTTTACAACAAAACCAACAATCAAGAGTATTCTGTTATGGAAAAACAAGCACCACATATACTCACCAGCAATTTGGTATTAACTTATCAGCACCTAAGTAGACACATAGGAATTACATTTATCGGGTATTGGGCAGATGGGAGGGGACAGGAGGGGACGGGTATATACATACATAATGAGTGAGATGTACACCGTCTGGGGGATGGTCACGCTTGAAACTCAGACTTGAGTGGGGAGGGAGGGCAAGGGCATTATTTGAAACCTTAAAATGCGTACCCCCATAACATGCTGAAAGAAAAAAAGAGTATTCTGTTCAGTTTGTATGGGACACGTCTGTTCTTCAAGCGTCTGCTGTGTACCTGGCACGAGGGAGGTACATCATGACAGGTGAGGTGCAGTCTGCATTCAGAGAGCCGTCGTTCTTCCCTCCACTGTAAAGGAGCCTCGAGGCTTTGCCAAGCTCTTCTGAAACTAGATCATCCTGTTGCCCTTATTTCTCTAATATTATCAAAAAGGGAAATCAGATTATTTTAGTATGACTTGTTTTTATTACATCTGTATTGGCTCCAATGCATACCAGTCTCTTTTCATAAGCCATATGCTTAATGTGATACAGACTTTTTACCAGTGATTTATTGTAATTTAATATTCTGTCTTGTGGCTGGCTGACCACAATGGTGGATCTTAAAATTTAAATTCTTTGAATCAGAGAGTTTTCTAAAGCAATACAGCCAGCTCTGTATCTCTCTTTGTAGGGTAGAAAAAGAGGAGGAGGAGGAGGAGGAAGAAAAATGCTCTTATAGTGGAACCTACATGGTGAGGTTGATATTTTGTAGCAATGGGGAGTCTTCATTTATTTATCAACTGTGTAGTTGTAACTCCTCCCAAGAGCTATTCTAAATATCTGTTGCTATGATAAAATCATTAAGATGATAAATTTGAGGCACCAACTATGACTGTCAATGTAAGGGTTTTTTTTTTGGCAGCATTTATTACATGTCTACTGCAAACCCAGCTTCATAGTTTATAAGGGGATGCAAGAATACTTACAACTACTTATAGTTAAGTAGGTTTTTTATATTTTTCAGTTAGTGAATAGTGATAGAGCCCCTACTCCTACCATGTTCCAGGCACTATTCCAGTTGCTTCCATATACTAACTAGCTCAATTCCATTATACCTATTTTATAAATGAGGACACTGGGGCATAGAAAGATTAAAAAACTTGCTTAAGTCACACTGCTAGTAGATGGTGGAACTAGGGTTCAAAACTGGGCGGTGTGGCTCAGGTTAGTCTCAGTTGCATTGTCATTCCACAGACATTTATTGAGTACCTTCTTTGGCAAAGGATTGAATTGGGTTGTTTCTAAGATTTATTATTCATTCATTTAATACTTAGTAGCTACTATGTGCCAGGGGTAGCATGGTCTCTGCTCTTATGGAATTTACAGACTAGTAGGAAATCCAACAGTTAATCAATATATAATACATTTTCAAACAGTGATAAGTCTTGTAAAGAGAAAAACCCAGAGAAGGAGCTAGAGGGTAATGGAGGGGGGTGCAGGGATATTTTTAGATTTTATGGGTTGAGGAGACCTCTCTGAGTAGGTGTCATTTGAGCAGAAACCTGTTTGAAGGGAGGAGCCAGCCACATAGGGATCTGGAGGGGGAGGAGTGTTCCAGGGACAGGAGCAGCAGGTCCAAAGGCCCTGAGGTCAGAGCGAGCCTGTGCAGTGCAAGGGCTAGACGGAAGGCCAGTGTATCTAGGGCCAGATGAACTGAGGGGAGTGTTGGCAGTGAGATTGGAGAGTAGGGTCAGGACCAATCATGTCAGCCCTTGTGGGTTATGGGATAGAGTTAGGATTTTCTTCTGAATGTCTATGGGATGTCTTTGAGAGTTTTGAGCAGGAGAGCGACATGTGTTGATTTATATTTTTTCAAAGAGCATTCTGGCTGCAGTATGGAAAATGGACCATAGGGTAGCAAAAGTGAAACAGGTGGCTTTTGTGTTGAGCCAAGCATTCTATAATTTACGTTGGTTGGTGAGAAAGGTGCTACCACCACATGGCACCTGCCTTACAGCTCAGATCTTTGTTTTTGTGAGTTCGAGACCAGCCTGAGCAAGAGTGGGACCCCATCTCTACTAAAAAAACAAAAGAAAAAAAATAGAAAACAAATTAGCTAGGCAACTAAAAATAGAAAAAATTAGTTAGGCATGGTGGTACGCACCTGTAGTCCTAGCTACTCAGGAGGCTGAGGGAGAAGGATTGCTTAAACACCGGAGTTTGAGGTTGCTGTGAGCTAGGCTGATGCCATGGCATTCTAGCCCAGGCAACAGAGTGAGACTCTGTCTCAAAAATAAATAAATAAATAAAAATAAAAAATAAAAAAATTGTATTAAAAGAGGTTACAGACATTGGTAGCTTTTCAGCTATTACAATGTGCTCAACTTATATTCCAGGTAACACCCTGGAATGGAAGCATATAGGTGTTTCCCTTGGTTGTGTAGTCCTAGGAGAAAAAAATCTGGAGTATGTGACAAGATCTGATTGACTGACTCTCCCTTTCCCACCCTTAACAACTGATTTGAGAACTGTTTAACTCCACACTATCTGGCCAGACATTTCAGTCCTTTATGTTCCTGGAAGGTTATTGGCTGAGGTCCCAGAGCAAAGGTTAGGGGAGTTGGCTTGGAGTCGCCACTAGACCTGGGGAGAGACAGATAATCACACACACTCACACAATACTCACACACACTCACACACACGAACAGGCAGTTGCCGTCGCTGGGGACTTAAAGTGTGGATAAGTTAGATGTGTAAATAAATGATTTATTCACACAATAAATGAAAAATTGCTTCAGTGGAGGTGTTTTCAAAGTATTGAGAAGGGAGTGACTAATTCTCCCAGGGAGTAGGTCAAGGAAGGCTTAAGAGGAGAGAGCATTTGAGCAGATTCCTGTGAGATATTTGAAGATCTCTATGTAAAAAAAAAAAAAAAAAAAAAAAGGCAGTGGGGAGGGATTTCAAGCCAAGAGGGGGAGTGAAACAGCATGGTGGGCCTGGGAATGAGATGGCGAGAAACAGGCTGCTGAGTTTGGTCCAGGCCAGATCGTGGAAACCATCGTCTCGGCTGATGTCTGCCTGTCTGACCTAAGATTTTGAATTCTTTCTTTCTTTTTTTGGCCACTGACAGAGGTGTTCTGAGGTCCAGTGTGCTGGTGTTGATAAAATGCTGCAGTTGGGCCCCCGTGCAATGCCTGTCATGGTGTCGCGCCTGAGATCAGTGTTTAACACGTTGACTGCATGAGAGTCGTATTTAACTCACCCTAGTTTTACCCCTGGTGAAGCATATATAAAATCTTACTTGTTGATGTTCTTATTGTTACAATTAATATGGGCAATTTAATTTAAAAAATATAAATCAAATGAATAGAAGTCAGTAATTTTGATTTTTCTGTGTATGTTTACCTTTAAATTACATTCAAAGTTTTTATTCTGTTTTTGTAATAAAACACTGTAGGCCCAAGGAAGGAAAAGCTTTTTTTTTTTTTTTTTTTAACGTGTGTGGCAGTCAATGTGTTAAATATTAATATTTACTGAAATGACCAAGACAAGGTGGTTGTCTTAGAGTTCCAGAGAAGATGATGTCCCTTCTCAGATCCCAGACACCGGGGTGTGGACGGCACATGTCCTGTGGTCTTTAGTATCATCAATATTTAAATTTCCTCAAATATCTCAAAATTGTTACATTTTGTTTTAATGTAATCGGTTGATCTCTTAAGTTTCTTTACATCTATAGGTGCTCCTTCTCTTTTTTTTTTTTCATTGCAATTTATTTATTGGAAAAGCTAGGTCTTTGGTTCTTGTTATTAATAGTTTCACCTAGTGTGGATTTTGCTGATTGTATCCTTATAGTATCAGTGAACATGTTCTTAACTTCTCTGCATTTTCTATAAATTGGTGTGTCTAGAGGCATGTTTAGGATTCATATTTGATTTGTTTTTTTTTTTTTTTTGGCAAGCATACTTCATAGGCGGCAGTGGGAACTTCTTTTAGGAAGCACATGATGTTTAGTTGTCTTGTTGTGATGGCTGATTGAGTTTTTATGTGTTAAGTATTTAAGAAGGTTCAGTTCCCTTAACGTTTGCCTGGGCCCAGGTGTGGGTGGTCTTGAGAAAGTGGGAAAAACAGAGTATTTGGTGTGCTCAGAGTTCTTTCTCTGTTTTATTCTTACAATGGTGGGGCTCTTGTGTTCTCTGTCCCTGAACTATTTGCTTGTGTGGGTTCCTCCAGCACTTCCTAAAAGATGAATTGGCACGAATTTGATCCAGAGCACTGCCATAGTTTGTTTTTCTTGGTCATGAAAGATCTGTTCACTCAAGAAACACTAAGTAAGGAGATGCTCAGATTTTTTGAAAGTGATTTTTGTATTTTAGAGGTGTTTCTTAGTTTGGCCAAAGCAGTTGCCTTTGCTGATACTCTCCAGGTGTGTGTTTCCATTTAATTTGTAAGGTTACTCTTTTCTTCTTTTAGGATCTCATTTTGCCCAACGGTGGAACTCCAGCAGGCACTTCAAGTCCAGCGTCTTCATCTTCCCTGCTCAACAGACTTCAACTTGATGATGACATCGATGGTGAGACCAGAGATCTCTTTGTCACAGTTGACGATCCAAAGAAGCACGTGTGTACGATGGAGACCTACATCACGTATAGGATCACCACCAAGGTAGGTCCCTTTGTCATATATGCCTGTGTTGAGTAGTCTTGGAATTGGGGTCCCACTTCCCTGACCTCTGCCTTTGCTCTCTCCCTCCCTTTGTTCACTTTTATTACAGTTGTGGATGTGACTTTTTGAGAGTGCATGTATTCAGAGTAAAAGGTCCATATCTATATATAACAGTGGTTTTTTTAAAAATCTTGAAATGAGGGAGAAATTATGACTAAGATCTTTCAAATAAACATTTAATCCCTACACTTGCACTTATTTTCTATCAGACTATTTAATATGTTAATATTACTATCAAAATTTATGAATCATTTTATCAACCTAAGTCACCATGTGATGACACCATGATTATAATTTGGTCTACTTGGGGTTATTGGTAGGGGAGAAGGAATAAGAGGACAGGAATTAATAGTGACTATCTTCTATGTGCCAGGCAGGTAGTGGGTGGGATGTTGAGCTTTAATTATTGTCAGAGCAATACTAAAAGTTGTATCTTTTAGTTATAGTTTTGAAGATGAGGTAAACGGAAGCAGAAAGTTTTAAGTCACTTGTTCAAGGTCACAAAGTTTAACCAGGATTCTGACTTGAATTTGTGGGACTATGTAGCCCATATTAAAAAATAAATCATAGATTTCTGGATACTCTCAAATAAAAATAAATAAATAAATAAATAAATCATAGAAAAAAATAAATTCTTTGGAAAGAAAGGCAGAAAATAAAATACACTCATATTTTGTGTCTTCATCTTTTATTAGATGAAAATGTTGTATTTTAAAAATTATACAAGTAATATAATACATTATTGTAAAAAATGAAAGAAATAATACTAAAGACCAAATATGGAGTAGAAACCAGGAGTCTTCCTTAGCCCTTCTCATTTAGGTGCTGGTTCTTGCTGAAAGCAACCATTGCTAAAATTTGGTGCGTGTCCTTTCAAATCCTTTTTCTTTGCATTTACATTCACACACATATAGTTAGGATATATGTAATTTAGATTTCAATGTAATATTGCTTTCTGACTTTCTCTTTCATTTTACAGTAATTTTCCAAGTCCTTTTTATGTTCATGTGACTATATCTAGCTTATTCTTTCATTCTCTGCATAATTATTTATGCAATGATTATACGATATTTTTTCTCTATGGACATTTAAACCTTCCCCAAGTTTTTGATAATACTACTCTGTCCTTTCTGCACCTGGTTCACATTTGATGATTTGTGTGTGCATATATGCACATGTGTATGTACACACAGAGTCTTCCCCCATTACCACTGCCACTGGGCACCTGCTGTTTCTCAGATGTTGGGTTAGGTGCTTAGATGTATATTGCTTCCTTAGAGGTCTTAGGTTAATATACATATTTCCAGGAATTATTTCCATTTATTTATTTTTTCCTAGGATGAACTTATTTTTTACCCTGAAGTCAGTGAAATGCAAACCCTGTTTTTCTTGACTCGGTGCTGTATGTGACCAAATGACAAGGTGACTGCCTTGCTGGCACAGCAATGCTTGCCTGCCCTGACATTTTCCCTACTGCTACTTGATTCCTCTGGCCCCAAAATGCAAGTACTGCAGGACTTCTGCTAACTGATTCATAGGCCAGTGCTCATGCCGCAACTCACAAGTCTTTCCTACGCCTCTTCTTTCCTTCCTTCCCTCTCTTTTCCCTCTGGGTTCTGACTTCCGTCTCTTCTTGTGGGCTTAGTTGATTTCCTATAAGTCAGTAAATACCTTACAGTAACATTTTCCAAGTTACAGTCCCACATTTTACTGGGCTGTGATGGTAGCCCCTCAAGATGATCTTGCTCCAGATGTAAGTTTTACTTCTTACCGTCTCTTCCACATCTGATCCCAAACCAGAATTTCTTTTTTTTCTTTTGTTTTGGAGATAGGGTCTTGCTTTGTTGCTCAGGCTAGAGTGCAGTGGAGTTATCATAGCTCACTGCAACCTTAAACTCCTGGGCTTGAGTGATCCTCTTGCCTTAGCCTCCTGAGTAGGTAAGACTATAGTTATGTGCCATGATGCCTGGCTAATTTTTTAAATTTTGTAGAGATTGGGTCTTGCTATGTTGCCCAAGCTGGTCTTTTTTTTAATTTTAATTTTAATTTTTTTTTGAGACAGAGTCTCACTCTGTTGCCCTGGCTACAGTGCCATGGCATCAGCCTAGCTCACAGCAACCTCAAACCCCTGGGCTCAAACGATCCTCCTGCCTCAGCCTCCCAAGTAGCTGGGACTACAGGCATGTGCCAGCATACCTTGCTAATTTTTTCTATATATTTTTAGTTGGCCAATTAATTTCTTTCTATTTTTATTAGAGACAGGGTCTTGCTCTTGCTCAGGCTGGTTTCAAACTCCTGACCTTAAATGATCTGCCTGCCTCAGCCTCCTAGAGTGCTAGGATGAGCCACCTCGCTTGGCACCCGGCTCCCAGGCTGGTCTTGAACTGCCTTGGCCTCCCAAAGTGCTAGGATTACAGGTGTGAGCCACCACACCTGGCTCCTCTTTCTTGTTTCTAATAGTGACACCAGGTTTGGTATCTTGGTGGTGCATTTGGAGCCTTTTTTCTGAAAGTCGTGTTAAAGGATATGTAGAGGTGTATGGGCATGAGAGAAAGAGGACAAACAGGAACACAGAATCCCAGCACCTGATCCTGTCCTGGGGCCTCCATTTCTGCTGAGGTCATCAAGCAAAGTTGACAGTCAGAGGATGAGGCTGTACAAATGCTTTGCTTTATTACTTTGAGACTCCCCAATCCTAATTCAGATTCCTGATGAGCAAAGCTGGACGAAGTACAGAGTTCTTTTCGCCTGAGCTAACATGAGTCTCGGGCTGAGAGCTAATGTAGGCAAAGAATTACCCACCCAAGTCTAAGCCATCAGTATCTTCTCTCTCCAGTGGTGGAGAGCCAGGTGAAGCATTCTCAGGGCAGGCAGCTCCTGGCTTTTTTCTCTGCAGGCTCCTAGAAAGTAACATAATAATCAGTAGTTATTGATGCTTACTATGTGCTGTACTCTTTTGCAATAGAAACTCTTTCATTTTTATTTTATATAAGTAATGTATGTTCATTGTAGAGAAAATAGAAAGTGTAAGTAAGCTAAAACAATAAAATAAACTCACTAGCCAGAAATAATCATTGATAACTTTCTGTGCTGTTTTTCTCTATCCACTTAATACCAATAAGTATTTTGCATGCTGGCAGTTCACTTAAACATTGTGAATATCTTTCTATGCTGGTAAACACTGGTAAGCACGCCTTTATGCCATCATTTATAAGACTGCAGCAGTGTTCCAGCGTATGGATGTGCCATCATGCATGTGGACGTGGGATGTGCCATCATTTCTTTTGTGCTAAGTACACTTAATAACTTTAAGTATGTTATTAATCTTCACACTCAATGAAGTCGATATTGGTACTGCTCTTATTTTACAAATGAGGAAACTGAGCCACAGTGATATTTAAAAAATTGCTCAAAGACATGCAGCTAATATGTAGTAGAGCTGGAACTTGAGTCTAGGCCTGTCTGATTGCAGAGTTCGTACACTTAATAGTGCTAGACTTCCAAAAGCCATGATTTCCAAGAGAAAGATGACTCCCACACTCAGCACTGTGAGCAAGTACCATGTCCTGGCTATTGAAACTGATGATGTAGAAATAGACTTGAGGGTGAAGAAATTGAGAAGAACCTTCAACTCCCTCCAGAGGCCCTCCTTCTTTTGTTTTTTACCTTGTCCCCCTACAGTGACTCGGGAGGCTGAGATGGGAGAATCACTTGAGGCCAGTAGTTTGAGACCAACCTGGGCAACATATCAAGACCCTGTCTATAAAAAAAAAAAAAAAGAAAAAGAAAAAAAAAAAGCTAAACACAATGGCACATGCATGTAGACCATCTCAGGAGGCTGAAGCAGGAGGATTGCTTGAGCCCAGGAGTTCAAGACTGCAGTGAGCTGTGATTGCACCATTGCACTTTAGCCTGGGTGGCAGAGCAAGACCCTGTCTCTGTGGGGGTGGAAAGAATCTTTTGCCCCAATCAGTTCCTCTTTCCAAATGCCTCAGTGGTCAACTGAGTGTAAATGCTGGTCAGAGGTTATGTATGGGTGGATGTTAGATGTAATGGAAAGAAGGCTGCTGCTGACTGTGGCAGGAGCAGCTTCACTGGGGTGGTGGTGCAGAGCCCGGCTTTCAGTGGGTTGGCGTGAGTGGGAGTGAGACAGAGAAGACGCATGCGTGTTGGTAGCTTGGCAGTGAAAACGAGCATCGAGAAGCGGGAGGGGGTGTGGGGGTTGAGGGAGAGGGAGGGAGGCTTTTGTGGTATTCTAAGGGATGAAGAGACTTGTTTAAGTGCCAAGTGTCCAGTGTTGGTAGAGGAGTAGGCATGAGTCGAAGATTGGAGAGTAGGATGGAAGCTGCTGGAAGGCGGAAGGAGATAATAACAGTCTGAGCAAAAGTAGAGGGATCGGGCCCGGTGGGAGAGGTGCACTCTTTCCGTTGCTTCCGGAGAGAGAAAGAAGGCAAGTTTGTTTTGTGGCAGAGAGTTAGGGGGCTCTTTGCTTAAAGCTGCTGTTTTCTCTCTGAATAGATGAGGTCTTCTGCTGAGAGTGAGAGGGAGGTTTTGAAGTGGGGATTAGAAGGTTTCAGAATTTTTACAGACTTTTTGATAACCCATGTGGAAAATGAGAGAGAGCTGACTGAGGGAGTGTAAGAGGTTGCTTGGCAGTGCCGAGGGTGCGGGTGGAGACGCCTGCTGGCTCTGCGTCCTCCTCAGCAGTGTGCGCTCACACGCCCCGGTCTGGGAAAGCTAGACGTGGGTGGCGGCGTTTTTGCCAGAGTTGGGTGACTGGACGGTGTGGGGGAGGAGCGTTTCAATCTTGTGGTAGGTAGGGGATTGACACGCTGGGCTATGGAATGGACACTGAATAAGGAAGAAAAGATCTGAATGGACGGGTGTCAAGGAACTTGAGGTCCCAAGAGGCTGAAAAACCAGGGGTGTTGGGAAGCAGAAGAGCCTGAAATATGGGCGTGCTGTTGCGAGAGGGACATGCGTGAATTTCTGCCTGGTATCAGTCTGTGGAGAGGCCCTGGAGTGGAAGGGGACATTGTTGGCTTCCAGGCGGGTTGTTGTACGTGTGAACCACCTGGATCTTTAGGGCATCCAGCTCATGGAAGAGCTTCTGGAAGAAGAGCCTGGTGCCTGGATCTGGGGGAATCAGGGCTGTCAGTTGATGACGGCTCTGAGGAGGTTTAGAGGGTGTCTGTGGCTTGGTGGCATGAGCCTCGGAAGGGCTGCCCCAGGGCTGTGGGCGAGTGGCGGTGTGGAGCAGTGTGCAGTGAGGAGGGCGTCCACAGTGACTCATGGCCTTGGGGCGGGTGAGGTTTGTGGCTTGTGAGAAAATGAGCAGCTCAGGGAGGGACAGATGGCAGGGAGGCTGTCTTCGCAGGGGTGAGCCAGGTTTCAGAATTTGAACAGGCTGAAGAACTACAGGACTCTGTTAATTTGGAATGGGCGTTCCAGAGAGCTTGGTGGCAAGCTCTGAGAGGAAGGAGATAAATGGATGCTCATGTCAGAAGAAAGGGAGCCAGAGGAGCGTGAGGATGAAAGGCCAAAAGCCTTTGTAGTCTTCATTCTCAGGTGTTCTTTTGGGGCGGGAGTTGAGGCAAAATGGGATTAGCTGGTTATTACCTGATAAGGGAAGAGGTCCCTTTGTTGGGAGATGGGGTCACTTAGGCTTCTCAGGATCCAGCTGTATCCTGGACCAAATCTGTCTGGAGTGAGCCCACTGTAAATTTTGGATTGAATGTGCATTCTTTGGAATGGCTCTGGGCCACAGTTGTTAGGCACATCAGCTCCCGGGACAGAAGGGGCAGACCTTATGTGGTAGGCTGAGGCCCAGCAGACATTAGACTGTGGCTTTGTGTTTGGGTACCTATTCTTAGATCTGACTTTAGGTGTGTGCCCATGACCTCGTGATCTTTGCACATTCTAGGTTGTGGACACACAATGTGGTAGGGCACAGAGCAAAAGGATGTCATGGTTGTCTTTGGTTATGGAATTGCAGGTGGATGCTTTTGTTCACCACAGATGTTAGAAAATAGAAATAAAAATATATTTCTTTATTTCCCTTTTTAACTTAGACCTTGAATATTACAGAGGAAAAATTTACTACAAACTCATAGTTGGAGTTTTACTGGTCTGCATGTTTTATGAATACTGTAAGACCTAAAAATGGTTTTCTCTCTAGAAATTCAAAGTAGTGTCCGGGGCCCAGTCTGAGTGGACGTGCAGCGTTCCATTGTGTGGACGCATTGCTAGCCTCATTCCTGGTTCTACTTTTTCTCTCTGTCATTGTTTTCTCTTATCTTTCTCACCTACTTCTAATTTATGTCATTTGATCATATTTTACATATCACTTTTCTAGAACAAGCTCTGGTAAAAATAAGTGAAATAAATACTGGGTCAGAGAGTGTGAACATCCTTTTGTTTTATGATGATTTTTTTACCTTATTGCTTTGAAAGCATCAAACAAGTTTTTTCTATATTAAGTTCCCTATGTCCTTAAATGAGCTTTTTAAAAATGAGCATTTTTTGATGTATGACTATAAAAATACTGTATGTATGCATAAAAATATGTATGTATGAAAATACTGTATTTTTTTTTTTATCATCCAGCCCAAAATGTCATACTCCCAATATTTCTAGCATACTATGCCTGAAAATTATTCAGGAGTAACTTATTCTTTGGATTTAAGTATTGTTTTTTTCCTCTCTCAAATGTCACAATGCTAATTTGTCTTCTAATATAGCAGTCTTCTAATATATTAGTCAAATAAATATGTTGAATGAATTGCCCCATACTTTTCAGCCTACCTCCCCAACATGGGGGAAGGGCTGTTTGTTTGTTCGTTTTGAGACAGGGATGGTCTCACTCAGGCTAGAGTGCAGTGGTGGTATCATAGCTCACTGCAGCCTTAAACTTTTGGGCTGGAGCAATCCTACCTGCCAACCTCTTGAGTAGCTGGGACTACAGGCAGGTGTCACCAAGCCTGGCTAATTTTTCTAGTTTTTCTAGAGACAAGGTCATGCTCTTGCTCGGGCTAGCCTCATGTGATCCTCCTGCCTGGGCCTCCCAAAGTGCTAGGCTTACAGGCGTGAGCCACCATGCCTGGCCAAGGTTGTGTTTCATAGGTATATGCTGCTGCGGGGGACTTGAAAAGGGGAAATGATGCAGAATGAGTTGGGGGGCCATACAGGATTGAATCCTTTAAGTTCACAATTTTGCTCAGACTGTGAACACAGGTTTTGGGGGAGGATGAAATTGTAATTTTCAATGCCAGAGCTGTTCACAGCCTTTTCTCTGTATGACTCTTGTTCTTGCATTTTTAAGATTTTCTTGGTGTTGTGAATTAAAACAGAATTTTGGCTTGAAAGAGTAAATTATGAAATGCAGCCTGACCCATTTTTATCTTGTACTTTAATTTCTGAGAATGGTGACTGTCATATAGTCTACCCTCATAGGGAAAAATAGCTTATCTGAGACACAGTTTTAGTTTGAGCAAATTACTAACTAAAAATCTTATTTTGATATAAATCAACTTAATTTTATTTAACATGGGTTTTCATTAAAGTGCTGCAATCACATTTTAGAAAACTTTAATAGTTCAGGAAAGGGGATAAGATTATTAAAAATTTTTTTTTGTAACACAGTGGCATTTGGGTATTACTATATTTCCTTCTAGATTTTTCTTATGCACCTAAAATACAACATAGTTTCAAGGTTATGGTTCTGGCAGAATATGGCAGATTAAGCAAAAATCTTTTCTATTTTCATCTAACCTGCCTCCTAAATGAGCAGTGATCTGTTATCTCTACTTTTTGTTTATTTCCCCTTTAGCAAAATTTGTCAGCATATTTAGCAGAAGGTGGAGACTTAATTTCTTTTCACAGATTTGGATTCAGTAGTAGCAATATCCTAAGGAGAATTGTTCTGCTAAAAGAAATTCTCAGAGTTAAGCTTGGAGGAAATGAATCAACGTTTCTAAACAATTCTGAGGGATAGTTGAGTTCCATTTCCTGAGGATACAGAGGAAAAAATACCCTGACATTTTTATTCTAGCTTCTTGAATTTCTAACTGGGCTCAGTGGCCCAGGCTAGTCATTCTATGTTGGTGAACTCTGCCATTTGGCTGGTGCGTTCGGTGGAAGGAAAGTGTGTTCCTGCCTGGTTTAGTTATTCTGAGAGAGCTTTTTTCCTTTCCTTCAGCCAAAATATGCTACTGTTCCCTTATGCTTATTTTTTCCCATTCCATTCTTATTTGCAGAGTACTCGGGTGGAGTTTGACCTGCCAGAATATTCTGTTCGTCGAAGATACCAGGATTTTGACTGGTTGAGGAACAAACTGGAAGAATCCCAGCCCACTCATCTCATTCCCGTAGGTAGTAAGTCATTACAGCTTATTTCTCACTTTGCCTGCATTGTCTTTCTGGAAGAGGCTCACTCAACTCTTGCCCTTTAAATTATGGGTAAAACCCTGCCATGCTTTTTATACTAGATTCACCCATCAAACACATGTAAAACATGTTTATGGATGCTATATAGTGTATTTCACCTTTTGGGTTTTGGTTTTAGATTTGCCGTATATTGTGCCAGTTCTTGGGTGGGGTGGGGTAAATTTTCACTTTCACTATGATAATTTTTTGAGGTATGGATAGTCCTAATTCTCATTTGCTGCCTCTTTAAAGATTGAAGCTTGAAAACGTAAGCCTTGCAGAAGCTGTCTCTTTCCCGCTTCGTAGACATTGTTCTTGAGGTTTGGATGGCTGCCACCAGGTGAAGAATGATGGCTCAGATTGCAGCTGGCTGGGCTTTCTTTAGATATAGGAGCAAGAATCTAGCACACAATCCATTTTAACCACAGTTTTTCATTTGAAAAACAAACAAGGAAACCACCTAACTCTATTTATTGAAGCAGCATAACATTTATTTACTATAGTATTTCCATCTGCACATGTTTTAACAGAACAAGAGCAAATAAAATTTGAAAGACTACTAAATCAAATCAACACGCATATTTAGTACTTTTCTGACTACTTCTTTCTTTCTTTCTTTCTTTCTTTCTTTCTTTCTTTCTTTCTTGCTTTCTTGCTTTCTTGCTTTCTTGCTTTCTTTCTTGCTTTCTTTCTTGCTTTCTTTCTTGCTTTCTTGCTTGCTTTCTTGCTTGCTTTCTTGCTTTCCATTCTTTCTTTTCCTTCTTTCTTTCCTTCTTTCTTTCGACAGCATCTTGCATCGTTGCCCATGTATGAGGGCAGTGGTGTGATTATAGCTCATTCATTGCAACTTCAAACTCCTGGGCTTGAGCTATCTTCCTGCCTCAGCCTCCAGAGTAGCTGGAACTATAGGAATGTGCCACCACACCTGCCTAATTTTCCTAGTTTTTGTAGAGACAGGGTCTTGCTTGTTCAGGCTGGTCTCGAACTCCTGGCCTCAAGCAATCTTCCCACCTCGGCCTCCCAAGTCCTGTTAGGATTACAGGCTCAGCCACCTGCCTGGCCTGACTTCTTTTGTTAAAAGTAGAAATAGCTTTTTAGATACCAGATGTTTCTTTGGGCTTTGGGGGCCTTAGGGCAGTTTGGGTCATAAAATTCCTCAGAGGGGCTGGTTTATCTTTCAGCAAAAACCTCAGTTCAATGATAACTTCTCAGTACCATCAACTTTTCTGTTACCACTGCTTCTTCCAACCTTTCCCCCCCATGGTTGGAAGAGGCTGTATGTTGTGAGCGTGCTGGGAGTTTTCTTGGTCTTCAGAGTGAGCAGAGCCATGTTGTTAGTGGCGTGGTAGAAATGACCGGTCTTGCTGTTCTTCTCAGGGCGTTTCCTTTTTCCCCCAATCACATATCTTCTTCTCTGCTCTCCATGCCTGAAGTTTTGCTTTTCACTTAAAAACATGCCCGAAGAGGAAACAATAGTTTTTAAAGAGTTGGGACTATTCCTTAAAATAGAATGTTCATTTGACAAAATTGACAGTTAGTGAATCGTTTTTAAAAATAAACTTCTTATTTTAGAACAGTTTTAGAATTACAGAATTATTGCGAAGATAGAGAATTGTCATACCCCACACCCAGTTTTGCTTATTTTTAATGTTTTATATTAATATGGCACATTTTGTTGTAATTGATGAGCCAGTCATTATTAAGCAAGCATTATTATTAACTACAAGTCCTTTATTCCAAGTTCCTATTTAGTTTTTGCCTAATGTCCTTTTTCTATTCTAGGATCCCACATTGCATTTAGTAGTAGTCCTGTCCCTTAGGCTCTTGTCATTAGATTGGGGTAATGTATTTTGGGGAGGAAAAGCACAAAGGTGAGGTGCCTTTCTCATCACCCACATGGAGGGCACGTGCTGTCAGCAATGTGCATCGCTGTTGATGTTAACCCTGGTCACCTGACTAGAGGCAGTGTCAGGTTCTGTCACTGCACAGTTCCTTTCTTCCCCCTCCCTTTCCTTACTGTACTCTTCCTCGCTCTTTATGGGCAGCGCTCACTGCGCGTCAGAGGAATTAGGCTCCCCCTCCTGGCAGCTGGTGCATTCGAGGTTTGGTACGTGAAGATCAAAAGTTAGACAGTGACACCTGCTGGTGAAATATAGCGGCTCAGCCATAGAAGCTAAAAGAATGGAAGAGTCTCCAGAACGCCCAGGTGGATCCAGAGTATCTTTCTCTTTGGTTTCTTATCTTCTGGGTAGAAGCAGCGAAGTAGGAAGGTACTTTAAAAACAAGGAAGGGGCCGGGTGCAGTGGCTGACGCTTGTAACCCTAGCCTCGGAGGCCGAGGCGGGAGGATTGCTTGAGGTCAGGAGTTTGAAACCAGCCTGAGCAAAAGCGAGACTCCATCTCTACTAAAAATAGAAAGAAATTAATTGGCCAACTAAAAATATATAGAAAAAATTAGCATGCCTGTAGTCCCAGCTACTCGGGAGGCTGAGGCAGGAGGATTGCTTGAGCCCAGGAGTTTCAGGCTTCTGTGAGCTAGGCTGACGCCATGGCACTCTAGCCCAGGCAACACAGTGAGACTCTGCCTTTAAAAAAAAAAAAAGTGGATACTTAAATTTCTTCATAATTTCTTGGTACTCACGTATCTGGAGTGGAGAGAGATTTAACACAGGAGAGCATCTCTGATTTAAACATGAAAGTCAAACCAGAAACAACCCACTTTTTCCCTATAAGAACTCATTTTACAGCAGCTTTGCTAGGACATATGTATCCTGTTATTAAGCATCAACTTTGTGTTAATCTTTTTCCTAGGCCTGGTTAGATGACCTTGGGGAGAAACAGAGGGTGGGGAAAGGGGTTATAAGAAAAGCAAGGGACCCCTGCTTTGGGGAACTTACTGTCAAGTGGAGACCCAGTAAACACTGTAATTGTTGTTTAGATTTTCATTTCTTTTTAATAACTCAGCTTTATTGAAATTTAATTCATATAGCATACAGTTCACCCATTTAAAATGTACAAGCAAAGACTTTTAGTGCATTCATAGAATTGTACAACCATCAGCACAATCAATTTTAGAAATTTTTCATCACCCCCAAAAGAAACCTCACACCCCTTAGTTGTCACCTCCAAACCATCTATCTCCCCCAGCCCCTGGCAACCACTTAAATACTTTGTCCAAATAGATTTGCCACTTCTGGACATTTCGGATAAGTGGAGTGAGACACTATGTGATCTTTTGTAACTGGCTTCTTTCATTTAGCATAATGTTTTCAAGGTTCATCCATGTCATAGCATATATTAATATTCCATTCCTTTTTATTGCTGAATAATATTCTGTTGTGTGGATATAGCACATTTGATCTATCTACTCACCCTTGATAGACATTTTGGTTGTTTCTCTTTTTGGCTATTATAACTAATGCTGCTGTGAACATTCATGTACAAGTTTTTCGTGGACATACATAAATTTTTACTTTTCTTGGGTGTATACCTAAGAGTATAATTGCTGAATCATATATAACTCTATGTTTAACCTTTTGAAGAACTGCCAGACTATTTTCAAAAGTAACTGTATCGTTTTACATTCCCACATGCAGTGTACAGGAGTTCTGGTTATTCTACATCTCCATCAGCACTGGTTATTATCTATCTTTTTGATTATAGCCATCCTGGTGGATGTGAAATTATATCTCACTGTGGTTCTAATTTGCATTTCCCTGATGGCTAATGAAATTGAGCATCTTTCCATATACTTTTTGGCCATTTGTATATCTTCCTTGGAGAAATACCTATTTTTTTTTTTTTTTTTTTGGAGACAGAGTCTCACTTTGTTGCCCAGGCTGGAGTGAGTGTCGTGGCATCAGCCTAGCTCACAGCAGCCTCAAACTCCTGGGCTCAAGCAATCCTGCTGCTTCAGCCTCCTGAGTAGCTGGGACTACAGGTATGCGCCACCATGCCCGGCTAATTTTTTCTATATATTAGCTGGCCAATTAATTTCCTTAATTAATTGGCAGGGTCTTGCTCTTGCTCAGGCTGGTTTCGAACTCCTGACCTCGAGCAATCCTTGTGCCTTGGCCTTCCAGAGTGCTAGGGTTACAAAGAAATACCTATTAAGATCCATTGCTCATTTAAAAATTAGGGTGTCTTTTTATTATTGAGTTGTCATAGTTCTTTGTATATTCTAGATACAAATGGCTTATCAGTTAAATGATTTGCAAAAATTTTTTTGAGACACATAAGGTCTTGCTATAGCACTCAGGCTGGTCTCAAACTCCTGGCCTCAAATGATCCTCTAACTTCAGCCTCCAGAGTAGCTGGGACTACAGATGCTTGGCTACACTTGGCTAATTTTTAAAATTTTTTCAGAGACAGGATCTTGCTATGTTGCCCAGGCTGGTCTTGAACTCCTGCATTCAAGTGATCCTCCTGCCTCAGGCTCCCAAGTAGCTTGGATAAGGCTGAGCTGCTGGTGTCTCTTGAAGTACAGAGGTTTTTTGTTTGTTTCTTTGTTTTGTGAAGTCCAATTTACTTTTTCTTTGGTTGTTTGTGCTTTTGCTGTCACATTAAGAAACTGTTGCCTGGTCTGGGTGTGGTGGCTCACGCCTGTAATCCTAGCACTCTGGGAGGCCGAGGTGGGAGGATCGCTCGAGGTCAGGAGTTCGAGACCAGCTCTGAGCAAGAGTGAGACCCGTCTCTATTATAAATAGAAAGAAATTAATTGGCCAGCTAATATATATAGAAAAAATTAGCCGGGCATGGTGGCGCATGCCTGTAGTTCCAGCTACTCGGGAGGCTGAGGCAGAAGGATTGCTTGAGCCCAGGAGTTTGATGTTGCTGTGAGCTAGGCTGACGGCCATGGCACTCACTCTAGCCTGGGCAACAAAGCGAGACTCTGTCTCAAAAAAAAAAAAAAAGAAACCGTTGCCTGATCCAAAATCATGAAG